GATATATGTATCTATACTTACTTCATTCTAAGGACAAAGCTTTGGATGCCTTTAAAATCTTTAAGGCTGAAGTGGAGAATCAAAGTGGAAAACAAATTAAAATCGTGAGGTCAGATAGAGGTGGAGAGTACTATGGAAGATACACAGAGAGTGGACAAGCACCTAGTCCATTTGCGAAGTTTCTTCAAGAACATGGGATTGTTGCCCAACACACTATGCCTGGTTCTCCGGATCAAAATGGTGTGGCAGAAAGAAGAAACCGAACTTTAATGGACATGGTGAGAAGTATGAGGAGTAACACGAAACTACCTGAATTCTTGTGGACTGAAGCTCTAAAGACGGCTGTGTAAATATTAAACAGAGTTCCAACCAAGGCTGTTCCAAAGACGCCTTTTGAGTTATTTAAAGGTTGGAAACCAAGTTTGCGACATATACGCGTTTGGGGATGCCCGTCTGAAGTAAGAATTTACAATCCACAAGAAAAGAAGTTAGACCCAAGGACCATTAGTGGATATTTTATTGGATATGCTGAAAGGTCTAAAGGGTATAGATTCTATTGTCCGTCTCATAACACTAGGATTGTGGAATCAAGAAATGCAAAATTTCTTGAGTATGACTTGATCAGTGGGAGTAATCAATTTTGGGATATTGTTTCGGAAAAGGATCACTGTGAAGCTCAACCCTCTAGGTCAAGTGACAGATTGATTGTTATCCACACCCCTCAAGGACAAACAGGTGTTAGACAACCAATTGTTGAAGTTCCACAAACTATTAATAATGATCAAGTAGATCAACTTGTAAATAAGGAACAACAAGATATTGTTGTACAACCAGTTGAACAACATGCTCTTGAGGAGAATGTTGAAACAACGTTAAGAAGGTCTACTAGAGAAAGAAAATCAGCTATATCTAGTGATTATGTTGTGTATCTTCAAGAAACAGACTACAACATTGGAGCCGAAAATGATCCTGAAACGTTTTCACAAGCCATGAGTTCTAAGGAATCGGACTTGTGGCATAATGCCATGAGAGATGAGATGGATTCTATGGCATCAAATCGAGTCTGGGATCTCGTTGAGTTGCCTAATGGTGTAAAAGCCATTGGATGTAAATGGGTTTTCAAAACAAAGAAAGACTCACAAGGTAACATTGAGAGACATAAGGCAAGACTCGTTGCCAAAGGGTATCATATCATGCACATGAGGGATA